AAGAAGAAGAAGAAGAAGAAGAAGAAGAAGAAGAAGAAGAAGAAGAAGAAGAATGAGAATAATAATAATGATAATAATAGTAATAATGAGAACAAAAAGTAGTATTATAACAACAACAACAACAACAACAACAACAACAACAAGAATAACTGTGATGAAACAAATGTGAAGCGTGAATTAAGAAGATTCGTTAGACCTTTTCATCCGTGCGTGCTCACTCGGAGATGAATCCATCATCCATTTACTTATGCTCGTAGACCCTCGCCGCAAGTATAGCTTGATCCATGGACATTAGCGACACATTAGGAAGTCGTGGGATATGGAATAATCAGATTATTACTATAAATATCACCATCATATGTGAGGTAGTGTGGTGAAATCAGGCGCTCGTCGAATAAATGATATCGAAGAAAACAGCATTTACCCGCCCGTTTGGCAATTTAAATCAACTTTTAAATACATTTTTAGCTCAACACCTTTAAAACATTTCAAAAACACTTATTTTCTGTGCAGGTTTTTCGGAAAAACGCCAATTAAAGGCCCCCTAAAATGTAATTTTTCATCCTCCAAGGACTCTCAAACTTTGGAAATAACCAAACTTTGGCGGACATTTTCTCGTTCATTTGACTTTGAAACCAGACGACCCCTACCCCCCTTCAACATCAAATATCTCGACTTCTATTCTAATATAGTGTAAAGTGCATAGAGCCTGATGATGAGCGGGGATATGCGCTATACAAATGCTCTCTATTATTATTATTATTATTATTATTATTATTATTATTATTATTATTATTATTCAAGACAGATGGGTAATTTTTTCACCGGAAGAAAGATAATATAAAGGCTTTAAGATGATACTAATAGCTCCATATTATATGCCTTGAGGTTGACGAGCGCCTGATTCCAGCGCGTCGTGGCACATATCGCCGTGTGTTCTGTGAAGTCAGGTGTGGGATTCTGGAGGATTTTTCAGATAATATACGTCGTGTCGTGTTCGCCGTTCTTTCTGTCTCTTTTTTTTCACTCTTTTCATTTTTTTTCTTATCTTTGTTAGTTTATTCATTATTTTGTTTCTTTGTTTGTTTGTTTGTTTCCTTTTTCTTTTTCATTTGCTTTTATTTCTTCCTTCTTTCAGTTTCTTTTTCTTTCCTTTTTCCTTCCTGTCTTTATTTCTTGTCTTTCTTTCTTTCGTTCAATTCTTTCTTTCTTCCGTTCAATTCTTTCTTTCTTCTTCCCTAGAGGTTTGTAGCGTCATTCATGCATTAATGGCAATGGTAAGTCTTTTCGTGCCAAACATGATCAGCAAAAGTTCAAGCGGTGTGAAAAGTGACTCGGGTGTATCTTTAACTAGTAAAGAAGAAGTTGAAATACCCTCTTCAAAATCTGGAGGCCCTGCTTGCGAGATTTGCCGGGCAGAAATGCTTTCTTTCTGAGATTTTAACAAGAAATTCTTTGATTCTGGCTCTTCTCTTCAGCTTGAGGAGGTAACTGCATGCATGACACTTCCTGCAACCCGGGCTTACCTGTGATTTCGTTGACAAATGGTGTTAGACAAAATTAAGTACACGTATTAGCTACCAACATCAATCTTTTACCTGGGAAATGGAAAGCTTCCCTACGTTTGAGAGAACTGGCGCTGTCTTGAAAAGGACGTAATTCCCAGCTGGATGTCCCGTCTGTTCATCGATTCTTCTCAAGCTTCCTCTCCAGATAAGACATTGTTTCACGGAGATATCAGCCTGTCGGTTGTTACATCCACAGCGGAACTCCTGTAACCCCACCCTGGCACTGTCATTTGTATACGTTATATAAAGACACACCCACACAGACACACCCATACAGACAAACTCATTTATATAGGCATTTATATAGAAACACCCATACAGGCACACATACATACTCACACAAACGCACTAACGAAAATGCACCCTCAAAACCACCCTCGTATACACACTAACACAGGCACACTCGTATAGCCTTCTCTGTCTCACCCATCTATACACACACACAAACATATAGTACACACACACACACACACACACACATATACATACACACACATAAACACACACATACACACATATACACACACACACAGACACATACACAAACACGTGCGCATGTGTGCTTACACATACACTAAGACCACAACACACACGCTGCTCTCTCTCTCTCTCTCTCTCTCACACACACACACACACACACACACACACACTTCAAACTCCATTCCCCCCCCCCTTTTTTTCAACCCAGCCCATCAACATGGAGGAAAACGTAGTAGAGGAAGACCAACTGACAGCCGAAGAGGTCGTGTTCGTCTCTGTGATCGGCATAGCTCTGGCCGTGTCCGTTGTGTGCAACATTCTTGTTCTGATTGTGATGCTGCGCACCCCGAAGATGATGAACCCGACCAACATTTTTATCTGCAATCTCACCATCAGCGACATCTTGCTGTCGGGCATCGTTATCCCACAGAATATTCATGACGTGTCTCATGCTTCCACGGATTATTATGAAGGTTAGTTGACTATGTTTGAGTGTGTGTTTATGTGTGGGGTTTTGTGAATGTGTGTGTGTGTGTGTGTGTGTGTGTGAGTGTGTTTATGGAAGTGTGTGTGTGTGTGTGTGTGTGTG